ATAGGTCATTCTCAAGAATTCTTTTATCCAACTTCTAGCCGCTTCCTTATTGTAGGAACCTCGATGAATTTCATGATGTATTAGCCCTTGAAACTAATGCATCCAATTAAATGAATATTTGCGCACTTAGAAGCCATTGAAGATATACTGCGTCTTTCTTCTATCAGTGATCAACCTTGAGTTCTCTTAATATGCAGGTTGACATTTGTTTCGTCCATAAATAGAATGGAGGAATTGTCAGCTTGATATTCGTTTCGGCAAATGCCTTTCTCTTTTCCTTATTGGTGCTACTATTCCTCGTTTCAGGCTCAAGTCTGATATCTTTGATTAGCGAACATTAAGCCAATCCAGGTACTGGCGAATACATTCACTTGATACTTCTGAATTTCTTCTGCAAGCTGATTCTTGCATTCTACTCAATCTGGTCAACCAAAAATTGTCTCTGGGTATCGGAAATCTTCGAATGCCTATGGCCTCCTCTTGTGTCTACTTTATAACCTTCCTTTATCGATCTATATGAAATGAATGTTTTGATCTACAAACGTCTTGCTGAGAATCAGTATTTCCGTAGACTGCCCTAAATTACCTGTCCTATTCATGGGCTTCGGGTTTTCTTATGTATGTCTTTTGGGTCATAATTCTTAGGTGATGAATTGAATGATTTAATTGGCAACGTATTACTTAACTATAGAGTAGTGCTCAAAAGATATGAAACACCTTGATTAAAATTCAAACCGGAATATATATATATATATATATATATAGTAGGTAAACCTAAGGAGGATAAAATCCAGAGAACTCGATGTAAATTCAGGGCATATATATATATATATATATATATATATATATATATATATATATATATAACTTAGCCTTGGAGTGGGTAGAATGGAGATCAACGTGTTTTAGTGGGATCAGCAATTTTCAATCTACTTGTCTGAATCATCTTCAAGAAGCGAGAGCAAAATCTAAAAGGTCAGCCAATCTAACAGTGATCTTAGCTCTCAATCCTCATACTTGCTCCATATGTGGCCTCCTTTGTAAATCACTAGCGGGTCTTAAATGCCACTTAAAATTATCGCACAAAATTTCATAACTGAATCAATAAGCTGTCTGATCCTCATACGTCGAAACCGATGGGAGAGTTCATTATTTTTATATATATATATATATATATATATATATATATATATATATATATATATATATGACATTGTACACAAGTGAATGCTATTCACTAAAAAAAATAAATATGCTAAACTAATGGATCAGACCCAATTTATTTAGAAGTAGCAAAATATCAGTTGCTAGAACATCGAGCAAAATGAATATTGAATGCTTATTATTAGTGTATAGTTGTGATTTGAATTTGCACCTTGTTTTATTGTGTTTACTTTCACTTTTTTTCATTTTAAGTTTGGGTTTTCTCATTTTGTCTTTAGAAATTCTCATTTTGAACTTATAATGATATAGTTTTAATATCGCTACTGAAAGGGAGATAACCAAAGATATCTCCTTTGCACTGGCGACGACAAATTGTAGTGTGTTTAATGTGACTGATTCCGTGAAAATGCAGAATGCAACAATAATCAAGGGGGATATATTCTGGGGAGTTAGGTGACCAGATGTAAGGGGTGAAGTGTTCACAGAAATTGTCTGACAGCCATGACTGTATACTCCTGCTTGTGCCGCATGATGCAGAGTCCTGTTGCCGGACATAGGGTCTTCCAGCAGCCACTCTCTTGACCCAGGGTAACACTACCTCTTTAAGGCACTTGATATAGGCCTCTGTGTTGAGTCTGAGGCCCTGTGGGAAGATGAATGGAATCATAACGTCGCCATCACGGGTGATCCCTTCAAACACATTCGCAATCACCATTAGAATCATCCAACTCTTTCCGAATCCTCAGTTGGACACTCAAACACTGTGAAATGTTCGTAATGGAGGTTCCGGCGCGAATGCCAAGCAGTACGGCATGCCGCTTCCAAATTTCTGGCTGAGTAAATTACCTCATGGTGCTCTTTTCCTCACAGGCTGTACCCGACTGAACTAACTATACTGTTCAGTCGACAAAATCAAAAACAAACAACGCGCATGCGGGAAATTAAAAATATAAAATGGCGACAATTTACGATTGCACTGTGTATGCAGCATTTTTTTATGTCAAGGCTAAAAATAACAGTAACAATTTTTAATTCTTACCACTGCCTGGGGAGTACGTTACTTTTTGGTGGGAGTTATCACAAATTCTTTCTCTGCAACAGATTCACGATCAACCATGATCTCTTGTATGTGTTTGAAGAAGTATTAGATCGAGAAATTTAATTCGATAAAGATATCACATCAGCATCACGAAAATAAAAATAATGATTAGGAATACTTTTAGAATGAGGGGATAATGAACTGGTCTATTGGAATATTATAACTGTGTAGTAAGTTCGATCCACACTGGTGACCCCATACTTGTGTTTTTCTACCAGAATATGAAAAAATAACTAATAATTACGATTAATATCGTAACGTAAGCGCGATTCTTACAAAGTGAATCTACATTTATGTTAATTTGTCCAAATGCGTAACTATGGAAAGGTAATAAAATTGTCCCTCTATTTGAACATACTTAACATAATGCAAACTAAACATACTAACTCAAAAGTACAAGTCAAATTCATTTATTATATATATATATATATATATATATATATATATATATTGGGTTGGCCAAAATATTCATTCGTTTAAGTATAAAGTTTAATCAATAAACAGAACTAACCAATATTATATATATATATATATATATATCACACACACACACACATATATATATATATATATATATATATATATATATATATATATATATATATATATATATATATATATATATATAGTACTGTGCTAATAAAATAAATATCAATATTTAAATTAAACAACGGTCATTTTTAATCACCACCAACGATTACATACATTTTTTTCCTCACCAGTAACACAACTGTGAGTTTTAAACTCACAGTTGTGTTACTATGAGGAAAAATGTGTGTATATATATATATATATATATATATATATATATATGAAAGTGAACATTTAAATCAACACTCAGAGGCGACAGGCTGTTTCAATCGTCAGGCCACGTATATATACATATATATATATAATATTAGTGGTCAATATATATACATACATACATATATATATATATATATATATATATATATATATATATATATATATATATATATATATTCCTATAGGATAGAATCAGGTAGAATTCAATGTCCAGAACAGAGTAAGAATATAATATAAAAGGCTGAAACACTAATATTCCATCGTTATAATCTATTACATTGGAATCGTAATCACGATCCAATTCATCAGACCTACAAATTCAAAAAGAAATCAGAAAATATAACTCCGGGTATAAAAAACAAAATTTTAATGAGAGTGTATGTGTGGGGATAGTAAACAAGTGTGATTACGATTCCAATTATAACCATGGAATATTAAAGTTTGAGCCTTTTACATTATATATATATATGTGTGTGTGTGTGTGTGTGCGTGTGTGAGTGTGTGTGCGTGTGTGTGTGTGTATCAATTATTCGAAAAATATAACATAAATATGTTATAAAATCACTACAAAAATAGCTATTTTGTTTCAACACTTTTGGTGTCTTATCAAGTGATGATGTTAAAATTCAACACTATCACTTGATGCTCCTCGCTTGTGTCAAACTGTGTTTCACTAATGTTAAGCTGTTTGATTCCCACTAACTGCTCCACATTTTACTTATACATCAGAAAGAGACAGTTGAAATTTCTAGGGCACATAAGGAGGAAAGAGCGCTTGGAAAATTTAACACTCACAGGACATTGAAAGTAAGAGGAAAATAGTACATAACCTACTTAACTAAAGAACTTGTGTAAACGGATGGCATAACAGAGTTTTGGGGAAATGGCAAAATTTGCTAAGAGCTACAATGGACAGGAAATTGTGGAGAGCCATGATCTCCAACATTCTGAATGGACATGGCACATAGAAAAAGTAAATAGCTTATCTCAAAGACAACTTCCGTTGTAGTGAGTCAGGATTTCATTCGGTGCTCCAGATTTAAGGCCTTGTGGCTGCCTGAATTAAACTTTGTAAAAATCTGTAATACATGGCCTTGTCAAGAATTACTGACCACAAATTCAGTAGCAATAATAGAAACTTTGGCAATCTGCCCCACATTACCTTTTGTGTTTTCAAATTATTTTTTCTCTTTCTTCCTATAATTTCTTTTGTCCTGATTTCTTCTTTTTTTGTTTCTTTTTTTTTTTTTTTTTGTTTCTTTTTTTCACTAAATATCATGTTTGTTTCTAGCTGAAGAGAACAGGGCACCATGACGTAACTTCCCCCTCTTCCTCCTCCTGCAGCCATAAAAAGAAAAAAAAATGAAGAATCTCTCCTTAAATAAATAGGAAATAGTAGTTTCCATATTAAATTACTACCTTTTGTTTAGTCCAATTTCTTTTTCTCCTATTTTTTCAACCAATGCTACCCGAAAGTTCCGGGAACAGTTAGTGTAAATTTAATTTGAGACGAACTATCACTGCTTCCCTTTGCTCTTTGTGGGGCAATGTAAGTAGCCTTTGTAAGCTAATATCACTGGAGAGATAATGGAAACAAGATATTAGTAAAAATAATTTTTTCAGCTCATATTCCCTTTAATATCTATTGTATAAAATACACCGGTATTTAACTTTCATGCACAAAAATAAGGTAATGTGTTAAATGGAAAGGATGTATTTAATGAGTAAATTCCTTAGTGGGGAAGGAAAAATATGTGCCTACAAGTCATCAGTGGGGGTGGCAAAGATCAAAACAAGGAAACACCAATCTTTTCTGTATCCTACCTGTATGGGGTATTATTGCATGTATTATTGCAAGTATTATCGTTAAAATACACATAGTAACAATTAATCAGAATATCTGAATGAATAAAGTTAGATCTTTTCTTAC